ATTTTTGGCAGCCAATGTCAGTTACGCGGTTTTGTACTTTAAACGACGATATGTACAATAAGTATTTATTACCCCAAATTACAGTTACAGTTATGGTAGCAGGAGCAATTCAACCTGCTGCTATACAGGAGCTTTTCAAAACCATTCCGATTTTCAGTGAGATTACCGATACCTTCTAAACCCATTAGGCATTTCAGATCTATGACCTTGCAATAAGTGCATGATTTTGCGTCTGTGTAATTGTTGCCCAACGCAACCACCGTACAACGTAACAAAATGTACTTTAAATAACATTTGCGCCTGCAGCTACTTTCTGTTCTGCCAAATGGGCGAACGTCGTTCTGGAAAGAAATTACGTATGTATATATATATGTACGTATGTTATATGTATGTATGTATTGTAAAATAGTTGTTTTAACATAAATTTTGAATTATCACTTACAGGAAAATAACAGCGCCGGTGTGAAGGTGGAATGGACGCTATTACGGGATTGGATGTAAATTGCACTGGGCTTATAACTATTGTAGTGCGTAGGCCTTCCAAGTAGAACGAACGGTATTCCGAAACTTCTTCGGGATCATGCACGCCGACCTGTGAAGGGGGGAAAATATGTAAGTTTGAAGAAATTTGCAGGGAATTTAATTTACCGAACAACTGTAATATTTTTAAAGGTGAAAGTTTGATAATATGGAAAGCGGCTGATGTACTACTAAAAATAAATCCGCCGGCAGTCAGGCACAGCTTTCACATACTATGCACCTACGCAAAGAACTTTATATGGAGAAAGTTGACGGATAAAGGATTTTCTGCAGGACGCGATAATTCGAACAACACGTTTGCAACACTCTCAGGCCTCTCGCGTTAATCTAAAAAATCTTTCCTATTGATTTAGAGCGCCGCGCTAAGTTCAGGAACATTTTTTTATATCACTAGTGACACACAAAACGAATAAATAACACATTTACTATCCTCACTCACCATAACTAACTATAACTATACTAGAAGCCCATTATCAAGTCCAGTCCACACATGGGTTCTGCTTTGTGTTGCCACTGAACATATTCTCAACGTCGTTGAAAAGAGTGTTAAGGCTCAAAGTGGTGTCAATATTCAATTTTTTAAACCAAATACATATAAATCTGTCCAAAGAAAATATTAAGAAAAAATTCATTCCTTCATCCGATTGTAATACTAATGGGTCTAAACAATTTCAAACTACTATTTATAAGTCTTTGATCAGAAAGGTCTTTCTTTTTAGCCTTTCCTAATACAGCTTTTGGTATACTTTTTTAATTATTTGTGTTCGTATCCTTCATTTAAATTTTTAATGCATTCATCATATTGTTCACATAACGGTTGTTTGTAACAGGCTAAAGGAATCGAGGCAGATATAGACAAATGTATACATAAATTCTTAAAATGAAAATAGAAGTCGATTAAGCCATATCTGTATGTCCGTTCGTCCGTCCGTCCGTGTACACGATAACTCGTGCGAAAAGTGAGATATTTCAACGAAATGTGGATTGCACTTTATCAAAGGTAGTTTGGTATTGAAAATTGGCGAAATCCGATTGTAACCGCACCCACTTTCCATATAACGGTATTTTCGAAAAATGCAAAACGATATTTCAGTAAATATGTATTGGATCCCAGTTGTTGAAAATTGGTATGGTACAAAATAGTATTATTATGCAATTTTTGGAAAATGGGTGTGACCCCGCCCACTTATGATAAAATGCTGTGTCTCAGTAGCCGCTTCACCAATCCTTACCAAACTCTGTACGAGCGTTGATTAGAGCGCAGCTAAGAAATCTGCTGATAATATTTGAAATCGGCCAATACCCACGCCCACCTCTCATATAACGGTAATTTACAGAAACACGAAAACAGCGATAAATCAGTAACTACGATGAAGAGCAACCTATGATTGAAACTTTTCAGGACGTCGATTAATGGTTCGTATACAGAAACATGAAGAAAGCACCAAGAAAGAAGATTAGAAATCTTTAAAAGAAATGACTTAGGGCTGTTTTCACAGAGGTAGTTAACCCAAATTCAGCAGTTAACTTTCCGAATGAGAGTAAACTCGTCACTGTAAAAACGGCCCTTAGGGTAAAAATTTTGAATCAAATGCCTGGAACTTTTTGAGCTTAAATAAACGGCTGATTTTTCTTTTTATATTTTCGAAATTTCATGTTCAGGAATTCGGGACCTTTCGAGATTTTTTTAACAACATTTTGTGAGGTTTTTTCCAGGTTTTTTCAAAAAAAAAAATTTCAATCAAAACTTTGTATACTAATATACCGTTGAATCTAAAGCCCTCAAAAAGTTTTGAAAGGTACCGGAAAAAAACCTTCAAAATCCGAAAAGCAGAAATAATCGGTTTATAAACCAATTGAAAGAGAACTTTAGCTTAAAATACCATCGAAAACGCGGCTCGACAACTGAAAATAACCTTTATTCATAGTCTCTGTTGTTTAGTAATTAAAGGAGAAATTATTTTTCATTAAAATTCCTGTTTTAATATTTTGAAACTATTTTTTAACTATATGAATATTTACATAAAATCGAAAAAATTCATACATACACCCATATGTACTTATGTATATGTACATGTACGTGTAAGTATGCCTATCTTTCAAATTTCACAGTAAAAATTTATAGCTGATTTACAACACGTCATTTTCTTTTAAGATTTCTGCATCATAGATGTCACGATTTAACATTGCTCGTTGATGTTAAAGGTGAACTTTCCACAAGTTGTTGGAGTGAAAGTGTTGAGCATGTCTGCGAAAAGCTGTCAGTGAAAATTCAAAGAGATTTCGCTTGATATACTCGTATGTATAAACATATGCAAGTTCTGGCATTTCGTATTTCCTCCTTTTGCTTTACATTACGTGATTGCGCGTCTGTGCTGGCATATGGAAAAATTATTTCAGAATGTACATACTTAGGTAGTGGCAACATGTGTTGCATGTTGCAAGTTTCCAGTTGGGACCACACATTAAAATGCAGATGAAGCGAAAAAGTTTTCGGAAAATCTAAGATTTCAAATGAATGCTACATTGCATTATGCAGAGGTTACACTTCCATACATATGTACGAATGTAGATTTTTAGAAACACATCCATATGTATGTGTAGGTATTAACTTATGCGTAAAAATACATTTCGCACAGAAAACACAAATATTAAAAAAAATTTAAGTATTCTTTTCATAAATATGAAAGATGATGATCTTTTTAACCGTAGCATATTTCACGCTTATATCTATATCTATCTCGATTTTTTTGAGTTGTTCCAAACAACTGTGCGAAAAAAGATATAATACCACCGTATAAAAAAAATAAAAATTTTCTTCTTTCTGATTTTTTTTTGTGAGTTTGACATCTTTTAAATTAACTGTTTTTTACATAAAAACATTTTGTATAATGTTAACTTTAAGTACTCAAATTGGCAAAATGGGGTCTTAGAGCGTATGGAGTCTAGATCGTCTAACGCTTGAGCAATATGATAAATAGACATGGAATTCTATGAAATTGCATAATTTTGAAAAAAGAAAGGTGTGTAAAAAAGCAAACATAATATGAATAAATCATATTAACCTTACTAAAGGTCTGAAATCACGAAAACGACTTCAAGGAAATGGCATAATTAAACTTGTTCTTTATTCTTTACCTTTTAGTTCTCATCGTGAGTTTCATTTTCCCCGAACCGGTTCACTTTTCACTTTTGGTTAACATGTATTTACTATTGATGGATGATAAATTTTCTGGTGATTTTTTTTCGGGCGAAACTTAGGATATGACAGAATATTTTTCGGTCGGAAAACTCAATTTCTCTTTAGGAGACTTCCAATAAAAATGCCGAATTGCTTATTTAACCATTTTTTAATATTAACTATTTTGGTATAGGTCCCCCAACAACTCCAAAAAATCTAATAGGAGGACCTTAAAAATGTGGAAAAGAAGCAATTGGGTATTATTATTGGAAGTCTCCTAAAGAAAAACAGAGTTTTGCAGTCAAAAATATTGATTTTCAAGAATTCTATAGTACTTGTTTTTTCCCCATATAAAATAAATGGGCTTCAAGGCAGTTCTAAATATCAGATGTTTTAACTAAAAAAATACACGTATTTTTTTCCATTTAGAAAAATCCTACGGGGGGAATTTTTTTTAGACTACCCTATTGGACAGTCACAAATAATGTGTTCGGAAGTCCTCAAGGCAGAACTCTTCAGCGACGTCGTTGCCTTCGATCCAACAGTGGCTCGGCACCCAGCACACAGTTACTGCGTTTTTGCTGCCAGAATTTGAAGCGTGTTTAAAGCAGTCTTGAACAAGTTTAAGTTGAAAAGATGCACTGATTGGCACTTTTGGAGTGATTAAGAATACTTATACTTTTTATTTGTATACTAGATATGTGTAAGACTTCTTAGTAGTAAAATACTTATGTACTAAGTATATATCGTATACATATGTAATTTTATTTGTATTTTCATCAACTTCGTTCGTAAATTTCAATGCCTAAAATAAGGCGTGATCGGTGCTGGTTTGAGGCTTTTTAAAAATCTCTTTCCTTGTCTTGGTCTGTTCTTCCTTCGCAAATACGCCTTTTTATCAGTGCTTTCACGAGAGTACAAGCATCCATCAGGTATGTAGCCACCCTCACGTAAATGCGTATAAAGTCCAACGGTGAAGTAGTAGACAAGCTCAACACAACTTATAAGTGAAGCGCCCATAAAAAGGCCCATGATGCCACCGAAGTTAGCTGAAGAGAAAAAGTTAAATGACTAACTATAGTATGCATATACATTCATGTACATATGTATGTATGTATACATGTACATTAGGGCGGGTCGAAAATCTAATTTTTCTCAAATTGCTTGGTAATAGGGAAAATATATTGTATCATAAAGTCAACAAAAAGCGTGCAAAATCTTTTATTTTAATTGTAAGAGCCCGTGCCTCGACCGCCAAGTGACACACAGCGCACTAGTCGAATAAGACCAATTATTGTTAAAAATGCTGGGCTTAGCATAAAGGTTTGGTGCATATTATTAGTTAGTGAATCCGTTAACGCAAATAGAGAGTCAAATATCATTTCTCGCAGCCCTTTAGTTTGTCTCAAACTTATTTTTTTTTTAATAAAATGTTAATTGCTCCCATGACAATTGCACTGCCTGATAGACAAAAGATGTAAAGACCGCTAGTTCCAAATATTATAATCTTTTTTTAATATTAGCTTTAAAAAATTTTGTTTATGCAAATGAGTATAGAAACACTGAACAGGCACAACTTCTAACCCTAATTAGTTAGTTTACTTATGTTTATGTGGAGAGTCTTCAAAAGGATATCCCGTAAGTTTTATCTTAATATCTTAAAAACTTGTAGTCTTATTGAAAAGTGTTATATCAAAGTGATATACTAAATTTAATAACCTTTAATTTCTTATATCATCCTGTTTATAACAATTAACGCATTCCATATATATTACGAGCCAAATATTCATTTTCAAAATTCATACACTTTGAATCAATTGCGCGGGCTAAAGCCAAGTTTTAGATTAATCTTTCGTGGCTAATAACAATTGGCTTAAATCTAAGACAATATAATATTACCATTAAAACACCGTTAAATGCCTTTTATTTTTCTCATACAAAATCGACCCAGCCTAATGTACATTCACAAAAAGTAGAAAAAATTGAGAGAAAACTTTAAATCTAAATTGAATGTAAACACGATTGCAAGCGTTTGGAAGTGCGAATAAATTGATTAAAAACGCAACAAAAAAAGCTTGAGCAACCAATGAAAATGTTAAAGTGGAATTGTGAAACCAGCAAAAAGTTGCAGAACTAAGATACAAATAAAAAAGCGTGAAAAAATATTAAAAGTTAAGCTTCTAGCATACATACATATGTACATTTTATACTTTGCGGAACTAACTGAAAAAGTTACAATACTGCACTTTTGTTGTTGTTGTAGACTTACCTAGAAGCTCCACGAAGGTGTAACGTAATCTGGTACAATAAGTCATCATGTATGCAGAAGCGTAATGTACGTCCAAACGTGCTTGCTTTACAACACTAGTGGTGTTGTTGCTATGCAAGAGTAGGTAGAATATGTAAAAAAAAGTGGCGTTAAGAGGGAATGAGTAAATGTAAAATTTATACGCATATGGTAATGAAAATGATAATGGCTAAGGACATTGATAAATAATAATGGTAATGGTAGTGCTAATGGTAATGATAATGGTAAAAGTAATGGCACCGGTAATGGTAAAGGTAATGACACTGGTAATAAAAGTGCTAATAGTATTGGTAATGGTAGTCGTAATGGTAATTGAAATGGTAATAATAATTGTAATAGCAGTGGTAAAATAAAATAAGTCAAGGCTTTTCTTAAGGTGTATTATAACCATGTTTTCCATTTAAATATGGTAAGTGTATTAGTTTTCGTTGGAGATATGTATCTAAATAGATATACATATTCATTTCAGTAACTATAATGGCCGCGGCACAGTGTTATAAGGCCATATGTAATAACACCATATGACGTTATTTTAATTCACGTTGAGAAATAAGGGCATATGGCGTTATTACTATGGGAAAAGTGAAATCAAGCCATAAACAAACATTTTGTATATGAGAAATAAAGCCAACCATCTTATTATTTGGAGGTGCCAGCCATAGAACTCCAGTTTTACAAGCAACAGAAATCAACAGAGCAGCAGGTGCCAGCCAAAGTGCCACCACCCGGCCAGGTAGACAAAAATCGTGTGGGAAGTGTCCGACATAGTACTCTGGTTGGCTTAGCAGAGGTACTAGGAGGCACTCTGCATTACCGCGACGAGGAGGGCGATGCTAGGTATACGGAAATAGTGGAATAGTACGAGAAGTTGCAGACCGAACGTACTCACACGCTCACCGCTACGGAGGACAAGAACCAACACCGCTCTCAGGGCGAGGGTGGTAATACTAAGAAGGCTAAACGGGGAGATGGACCCCGTATTCCCGCAGCACCCTAAAAACACCAATATTTCAGCGGCGTCGCCAGAGAAAACTTACAAGTATTAGTAATAGATGAAAACAGCAGGACACGGCTGGCAGTGCAGCCGAATTGGGTGGAGATTGATGTGAGGTTATCGAGCTTCGTTATGAATTACGCACTCGACAACCCCCCCCGAAGGTCCTCGCACAGGGCCCAAAGCATTGGAATTCCTAACCGGTTATCCTAAGATTTCCTCGTTGTATGCGTTGCTAAAATTAGCGACGCGTTTGTCGGATTGAAAATCAAGCTGATTCCAATTTAGGACGTCCATAGGAGACCCGGATAGCCAAAATGGGAGAAATGTTGCTCCGGTGTATCAAGCTATACAACAGAGATATACCGCGAATTAACGAATGGGAGTTTATTGTAGTGGAAGAGCCCAGAAGGCCCTCGAATATGCCCATTCTTCTGGCTATTTGCACCGAATTTCAAGACGCCTTAGCATGGGATGACTAAATGAGAAGAAGATCAAAAGGTCGATGAAGCAGCCGAGCTTATAATGGGAGTGAAGTTGAAAGATAATCCCGACACATAAGCTTAAAATAATCCTATGTAACCTTGGGTGAATAACGATATGGTAATGGGGACAACTTTCCCTGTGCTTTGTAGATTGTGCAAAGATTACCTATTAACTAAAAACTCTTAAGTGGGGTGCGAAACGAACTGGCGAAGGTTTTCATTATATTCTGTAAGGGAGATTTTTATTTTTCATATTCTGTGTTTTTTAAAATTTACCTCTGAAAAATGGAGAGCTAATTTATAGGACAGTTTAAGAAATAAAGGACAAAAGGCATCCTTTATTTTGAAAAAAAAAGTTGTAAAGGACAGGGGGTTAAAATAAAGGACTGTCCTTTAAAATAAAGTACGGATGGTCACCGTAAGTATGATGTAAATAACTAGGTAGCATACAAAGAGCATTGGGTGCAAGAATAACGGGCGTAGAGTAGGCGATATAGAGGCAATCTCTCTCTTCTCGTCGTGTTTCTCTGTCGAGGGGATGATGAAAGCTTCTTCCAAGCGGAAGTCGTAGGCATCCCTGAAGGTTGTAAGGTAACAATATACTCTGACAGCCGAGCGGCTAGTCCAGATGTGTAAAATGGAATTATGCTCAGTATAGGGAAAAAACAACTTTTCGTAGAAATGGTATATAATTCTTGAAAATCAATATTTTTCGATCCAAAAACTCAGTTACTCTTCCTGAGATTCCCAGTATTAATACCTAATTATTTATTTAACCATTTTTTCATATTAATTATATTATATAAGTCCGTCAAAACCCCCAAAAAAATGCCAGAGAATACAATGGGGGAGTAAATAAAAAATCTTTAGTAATAAAAAAATGGTTAAATAAACAATTGGGTATAGTTATTGGAAGTCTACTGAAGAGAAAAAGAGTTTTCCGATCGGATTTCAAGAATTCTATACCCTATAGAACATTCCTAGGGAGTGAGAGCACTAAAATTTCGACTTTGCTTATTTTGGACCATCCTAATGTACATAGATATGTATGTAAACTTTTATAATTTTTACATATCGAATCCCTTCCTACTATTAAGTG